AAAAAAAAAACACACATCATTGTAAAATCAATACATTCATCACTTCGTTCAGAATCTAAAATATAATAATAATATATTCAACCTTTTTTAAGGAAAAAATTTTCGACATATCGCGTATTATATTTCTATAGAAAAACAAATTACTAATAAAAATAAATTTTAAAATATCCTTAGAAATAGAGTTAACATTAGATATATTATTCATATTAATGTTATCTTTTTTTTAAACTTACTTTGATTATTATTTATTGAATACTGTTTAAATTTAAACTTTACGTAAGAAAGCATCAGTAATGTGAAGTTATGTTAAGAATTAAAAATGCCCATATGTCCTATAGTATAATTTGAAATTTTGAAAAATAATTTCTTATTTTAATCATCCAGCACAAATAATTACACAACCTAGAATTAGGTTAAACCTTCCTCTGACAAAAACTTGGTAATGCGAAAATTTACTAATTATATTAATTTGATATTTTAGTAACTAAAAATAATTTTTATTTTTATCGATGATTTTTATTGATCAAATTTAACTGAAGATCTCAGATGTTCTTGTCTCTGTTTCACATTTGAACTTATATGAAGATTTTTAATTTTATAATATATCTTTTATGTAATATACATCAATATATTTAAATTTAATCAAAAATGCACAACGAAAATATAGTAGGTACTTTTTAAATGTTATTTAATTAAATTATCCAAATATTAACAACTTATTTTACTTATTTTTTTTATAGTTTTTTTTAGATTTTTATGATAAATTTAAATCCTATTTCAACAGCGATAATAAATGAATGGTTACGTTGAAAGTATTGTAAATCGGTCTCATCATATTTTACAGAAGTGATTACTGATTTTACAACGGAATGTCAATATTTGTAATTAATATACATATATTATATTTTTAACTTTTTTTTTTATTTAAAGGAAACTTTGTTAACAATTATTTGTTTCGAGTGTTTCGACAATTATATGATTACAATGATGGTACATAAGAATATAAAAATTATAAATTATTAGATAAAATTGTATGGCTATTTTATATTTGACTGARAACAATACATATTTTTTCAAAATAATACTAACTGTTCATAAATATTTTCATAAAAATGCGTTGATAATCAAATTATACCTATATAGTATATATATCAAGTTGATATATATAGGTATAATTTGCACTATAAATAATTTTAATTTAATGACATTGACCATCAAACTTATTTATTATTCTTCAACAACACATCTAGCTGGTATATTAATACCGTTCATTAAATATATATCCGAGATGTTTGTTCAATATCCACAAAATAAGTAGCTACTTATATATATATATATTACTTTCAGTCTGTCACGATTTTCGTCAACGAGTTCGCATTATTCATAGTTAGATGATATAATAGATACTCAAAATATAACGGAATTTATATTAAATGTATTGCAATTTGCAATAATCGTATATACATTAGGTAATGTTTATACTTTATAGCACATTTTCAATGTCAATCGAATTGTCAACTAGTTGACATTGGAACCGTGGCCGTTAGTGTCATCTATAAAATATTAACTACAACAAATATCCACAATTATTCAATATAATGAAAATGGTCTTATAAATTAAAATTAAATCGGTATTTTATTAGAGCGTATGTGATATTATTACGGACGATGCTGTGTTTCCTGATGTCTGGTGTGCATTAGTGTATATAATATTATAATCCCGAGTACCTATAGGCTGAAGTAAAATTCTGTGTGTGGGTATCCATGTGTGCATGCATGTAAGAGTATTCGGTACATTAATTACAACATGTGACTTATATTTACAAATTTACAATCCTGCAGCAATACGTAACGTATCAGTATGATTTTAAAACTTTTGAGTGCTTTTTATACACCTGTTGTGAGCAGGGGTGATGGTTTGGGCGGACAATTGAGTAAAATAACTACCCGTTTGACTAGTCTATCACATGATCAAACTTGTTAAAGTTTCAAGGACGTATTTCGATCAAATAACCGCACGCGTGATAATAATAGCCTATAGTTAGTAACTACCTGCCGATAGGTTTTACATTAAATTCTTGAGGAAGTATAATTGAGACTCTCTAGACAACTGTGCAGGGGGAAAGAGAGAAAGAGAGGGAATAAGAGTGATAGAGTCAGAGAGAGGAATACGAATATTGTGCGTGTTTGTGTGGTCTGTTAGATTCTATCGTGAGATGCAGAAGAACCAGGACCAAGGTCGACTCGCTGTCGACGGCAGCGAGCATAGACGGACCTTATCTGTTTTATGTTTTTTATTACTTATTAAAAAAAATTGAAGCGCCGTATATATTACAATATAAAAACATAATTATATCGCGTAAGCTGTAGGGCTTTGATGCATGGAAATGATATTATGATATGTATCTAATAAAACTCTAATAAAACTGTTTATTTAATCATTAATAATTTATTTGTTTTGCAACTGTCTATTTTCAAAAATATTGTTGGGATAAATTATCAGATGTTTAAGTGCGCTCGAAAAGTATAGCGTCGTATCTCATATCTCAATCTATAATTCTGTACCAATAAGAAAATTTGAGCAAAATGGATAGTTAGATAAACTGCTTGTAAGGTATATTATATTTTAGTTGTATTCATATTTTAGATTCTGAACGAAGCGATGAATGTATTGATTTTACCATGATGTGTTTTTTTTTGTGTCTGTCATCACGTTTTGGGGCAGTAAAAGTGCTTTGATTTTTGACTTCAGTCCTCGTTTGATCAGAAAGTGAATCTAGTTGGTA